GAAAAATGCGCACGTCCGAGCGATGCCGAGCCAGAGGTGGGGCATGGCGTGCGGTCCGCGGGCCCGCGGCGCCACGCCGCACGCTGCCTTTTTGTCCAACGCCGGCCGCACGTTGGCAGGCAGGGCGGGCGGGAGTGCGCGAGACAGCCTGTGGCGATCCCGTTGGGAACCTCACCCCTCCCCTTCCACGCCATGCCATGCCGTGCTCTACAGTGCATCGCGTACCCTTTCGGGATCATTGCCCTGCTCGACATCCGACTGGGGATCTGCGCCATGGTGGGGGAGGGGAGGGAGGGGCAGGATGTCAGATATGACGCGAGCGCACCTAGCTTGACCCCTCCCCTCCCCCGGAGGCTGGACGGGGCGCCCGCGAGAGTTCAAAGGGTCGTCCTCTTTGGCCCAGAGCGGCAACAAGAGGGTCTCGGACACCGCAAGACGGCCTCCAGGGTGGCTCAAGCTAGCCGAAGGTGGCACAAGATGACCTCAAGCATGCCTCCAAGAGGCCACCAGAATCCCCCAAAACGGCTCCAACTGGCCACGCACCTTCCCAAGGAGACCCCCGAGAGGCTGGAACCCTTCAAACACCTGGGGTTGAATGTGATGTGGCTGCTCGCTGATTCGCTTCCGACGGGGCTCTGAGCTTCAAGATGCCCCCAAATCACACATGAGAGCCCCATGAGGGGCCCAGAAGGGGTCCAAGACGGCTCCAAGAGCCCCCACGAGAGCCCCGAGAGCAGCCCAAGAGAGCTACAAGAGGCGATTGATCCGGCTCTGACGAGGCAAAGCTAATTGAGGACACCCCGTTCGTTGATCGATGCCTCCTAGGTGGCCCGACGAGGACCCCTAAGGCCACCGAAGGGCCCCCCGGAGAAGTCCGAGAGCTCCCGAAATTGCCCCAGAGGACTCCAAGACGGCCCCAAAAAAATCCAAACGACTCTCGACTCTCTGGGAGGGAGATCCGCAAAGGTCTGCGTGGTTCACTCCTGCTGTCGTCGGCCTCCCTCTCCTCCTCCCATTCCTCCTCCTCCCCCTCCTCCTCCTCCTCCTCCTCCTCCTCCTCCTCCTCCTCCTCCTCCATCCCTTGCCCTGTCTGTCGCACCCCCAGACGTATTGGTAGGGCGGGCCGGGCGTTTCGCCTGAGACTTCCCCACCACGTATGACCCTGAAACTTGGAAGTTGCAACGGCTTCGAGAGTGGAGGGCGGGTCCGTGTTCAAGATGTGGCTCTCGCGGTCCATGTTCAAAACGCGGCCCTCGCCCCAGCGCCAGACATCCTCGTCGTAACAGTTTGCCGCAGCTTCAAGGATGGAGGGCGGTCCGTTTTCAAAATGGAGCTATCGCCTCAATGTCACGCCCATCCGTCTTCAAAGTTGCAACAACTTCAAGGATTGAGGGCGGCCCTTTTTTAAGAATGCGGCTATGGCCTTAGCGCCGCGCACGTCCGTCTTAAAAGTTAGCAACTGTGTCAAGGATTGGTGTGGTCGAAATTCCAGGAAATGCTATCTAGTAAAATGTAGGGTTGTCAGGACGCCACCATCACGTTGATTCGCTGTGTTGGAATCCCAGGGATGGTGTACTGGCATGATTCAAGAACGTCAGGACGCAACAGTCACGTTGATTCGCGGAGATGAAGTCCCAGGGATGGTGTTGTGTCACGATTTGGAATTGCCCGCACGCCAAAGTCACGTTGAGTCGCGGCGCTGAAATCCTTGGAATGGCGCGTTGGCACGATTGGGGTGTCTCAGACGGTTGTCTTCCAATGAAGCACTTCCCGCAGTAAACAAAAAAGTCGTGTAGGAACCTATGACAAGGGAATTTGGAGGGATGGTTTACCGCAGCATCGTTGATGCGTCTTGGGTTTGCACTGGTCCTTCTGCTCCTGCTCCTCCTCCTGCACCTCCTCCTCCTCCTCGTTAATTTCGTCGCCGTCGTGCCCCCCTTCCTCCTGCACCTCCTCCTCCTCCTCCTCCTCCTCCTCCTCCTCCACCTTCTCCTCCCACCTCCCGCTTCGTACTCCTCTCTCCTCCCCCTCATCCTCCTCCAATCTCTCCTCGGCCTCCTCCTTTTTCGACAGCGGGCTCGGCAATTCCACTCCTGGGTATGCTTAGGCTGACTCCGAGCTTCGGCTTGACAGCTGACGCACATGTCTGTTCCACTGGATACTCCCGCACTTCTCTGAGAAGGGCAACTCGCCCGACGAGCGTTTCCGAAGCGTCAGCTAAATTCAGCGGGAACCCAGCCGTGGCAACGAGAAGCCTCCCAGAGGCCCAAGCCAGCGAACTGTCAGATACAGTTGCCTCGGAGACCACCCAAACCAGTAGGGCCCCCCAACAGAGCCCGATAGGCTCCGAAGAGAGCCATAAGAAGATCTCCACAGTGTCAGCCTCGTCATCGTCGTCGCCGCCGCCGCCGCCGTCGTCGTCCCCCTTCAGGGTCGGCGGCACGGGGCCGTAAGGCCTTCCCAATAGTTTTCTTGGAGGCCACCCACATTCGGTCGAAGTAGACGGGGTCGGAAGTTTTGGAAAACATCGGGCTGCACATCGAGCCGCATCGGCGATGCGGCGGCGGTCCACCGACCCCATCTACTTCGACCCCACCTGGGCGGCCTGGATGCTTGAATGGTGCCTTGGTAAAGCCTTAGGTCGGGCATGTCCTTCTACAGGCGGATTTTGGAGGAAAAGAAAGAAACATATAACTATACATAAAAAGCTACTAGAAAAATCATCCCCCGACTATTTGTGACTATGTTTGAATATTCCTCTTCTGTAGAGGGGCACGGCCGACTTTAAATAAAGCCCCGAAGCCTATCGCGGGCTGGTCTCTGCTGA